AGAAATAAGTAACTTTGAGGGAAGTTAAAGTAATGATCTTCAACTTCCTTGCTATCTTTTAAGTTGCTAAATCCATTTACAGAGTTCAAGTCTTGTTTTTATCTTTCAGTTTACTCTTACAATATGTCCGTTCTTCTATTGCTGGTTTTGTGTGCCTAATTTGGTTATGCTGTATGTTCTTGCTTTACAATTTTACTCTTTACTTATTCCCCCGAACCTCCCAATTGATATTTTTATGTAGTAGAGAACCTTCCTCCTCTAGTCTTATTTGTTTGCCTTCTTTTATGCAGTTACTGTAAGTGAAGTACAGGCCTTATTTGAGATGTTCAAGACTATTAGCAGTACAGTGATTGATGATGGGCTGATAAGCAAGGTAATTTTTATTTAACTAGTGAAATTTGTTTCAATGGGGCTTGTGATTTCCTGTTGCATGATGACAGATGAATGGTTTAAAGTAGACTATGTTTTCTCAATCTCTTGACATCAGCCAGTCAATAATAACGTTTTCCTCTTTTCCTGTCGAAAAAAGAAATCTTTCTCTCTTTTTTTTTTGATCGGTCAAAAGGAAATCTTCCTCTCCTTTTTTTCAAATCGGTGGAAAAGAAAATCTTCCTCTTTTTTTTATTTTGATCGGTGGAAAAGGAAATCTTCCTCTTTTTTATTTGTTGATCGGTGGAAAAGGAAATCTTCCTCTCTTTTTTTTTTGATCGGTGGAAAAGGGAGTCTTCCTAATTAATCATGGATAATGGAATTTATTATAATGTTCCTATTTTTTTTTTTATTGGTGGAAACGGAGATCTTCCTAATTAATCTTGGATAGGTTGTAGAGCGTTGTCTCGCTTATCCTTCCATACTAGTAGTTGTAGCATTATTTATGTAGTTTCTTGTCGCTCGATTTCTGCAACTATTTGTTGTTTCTTGCATTTTGATTATACTATTATTTTGTGGTAAACTGGTGATTACTGTTCAAAATGATTTGTCATGTTTTCTGTAGTATTTTACCATGACTTCTTCATTTCCGTTATTTCTTTTGCCATGCTGCTTCAAATTGTTTCTCTTTGAGTCAAGAGTTTATCGGAAACAACCTCTCAATATCCAAGGTTGGGGTAAGGTTGCGTACACTCTACCCTCCCCAGACCTCATTTTGTAGGATTATATTGGGTATGTTGTTGTAGTGGAATTTGTTATGAAGGGGATTTGAAACATCCAAAACAGCCTTGATTGTCTATTTGTGATTGTTTCTCTATCATGAGATGGAAAAGTTGTTCTTGTGAGATATTAAGTGGAGTTTATTTGTCACACAGCGCACCTTATGTTTTTTTTTAGTGTTTAACATATTTGATTGAACCGCATTACAGTCGATAATATGCCTATTTTTTGCTGATCAATGAACAATATGCTTTATTGATGTGCAGGAAGAGTTTCAGTTGGCTTTATTCGAGAATAGAAAGAAAGAAGACCTCCTAGCGAATCGGGTATGGTATTTCATTGGTATTGATTCGATATTTTGATATAATACTGTGCTTAGAATGAATACTTAATAAGTATTGCTCGAGTAAACATATCGTAGAGGTTCTTATGTAATATTTTGTTGAAGTCTTAAAAGACACCTATTAGTAGTTCGCCTAAATATGGATATTTAACTTATGGAGTGCACCGAGTTGGCAAGCATGCTAATTTGTCTTTCTAGGTGAAAAACTACTAATTTTATTGCCTTGATACGTGCGGGATATTAATTTCCCCTAGGAAATTTTTACTTGCAGATTTTTGATCTCTTTGATCTGAAGCAAAGAGGAGTCGTTGATTTTGAGGATTTCGTTATGGCAATGAATGTTTTTCACCCAAATGCCTCCCAGGAAGATAAGCTCACTTGTAAGTAAAAGAAAAGATATATATATATCGGTATTCTCTTACTTCATCATCAAAACAAAAAAAATAAGAAATATGTATCTTGGTATTTTGTAATTTCTTTAGTTTAATGCATTGCATGCAGACAGACGCATGAAACTCCATTTTGTGCTATTGCAGTTTCATTTAAGCTGTATGATCTGGATGGCTCAGGGTATATTGAACGACAAGAGGTGCGTTACTTTTATGTATACTTTGTTTCTTTTTCATGTTATGTTGAGAGTGGCCTATGTGCTTCTTGTTATGTTTGTTTTCATGTAACTGGCATCTGGTGTGGTTCCTTGATACTTCTCCTGCTTGTGTTATTGTTCTTGTGATCACTTGATCAGCGGAAACTTGGTTTTGAATTCTTTTCAGACATTTACAACCATTCAGTTTTGACTCTCGTAATGTTTGACCATTCGGAGCTGCTTACATTATCTTAATTTACGGGATATTAGTGAGTCATTCGAGACATTTGCAGAGGCTTATATTTGTGGTTTTGGCAGGTTAAACAAATGTTGATTGCACTTTTACGCGAGTCTGAGATGAAGTTGGCTGACGAAACCATTGAGATAATACTTGATAAGGTAATCTTACCCCATCCAATTTTTCATGGTCCGACAATATTGTACTAGTGATTTCTTTTTGACAAGAGGCTCAAGATTATTGAAAGACTAATAACTCACCCGCACCCGGTGTTTACACTAATAAAAGCAAGACAATATGTCTTTCATACACACATTTGGTTAAGTGATACGTATTCTCACTTTAACCTCTGAGGTTAAATTGTTTGGTTTGATGTGGACATCGGGTGTTGGTACGTTTTTACCATTGGAGACCGATGCATATTGAGTTTGCTTTCAATATATAACTGAGAAATTGCATCATCACTCTTTTAAGTTATTGACAACTTTGCATTAACACAACCTTTTGCTTCCCTTTTTTTAATTATTTCTGGTCATTTCCTGTCCTAACTATAGTCTCAACGAACTTCGAATAATTAGGGATTCTATTTCTATATGTAGACGTTTTCGGAGGCAGACTCGAATCAGGACGGAAAGATTGACAAATCGGAATGGCGAAGTTTTGTGGATCGAAATCCTTCATTACTAAAGATTATGACACTTCCATATCTAAGGTATAATATTTACCATTTGATCAGCGATACTCATTTAAACGATGAGTCAATCAGGTCACATTTATCTGTTGTAGCTTATGTTACTCGGATTCTTCAAAAATGCTGCGAGCATGTGTCAGATCCTCTAGAAGTAATGCATTTTTTGAGAATTTCCCACAAGTGCCAAACCATTTTTGGAAAGTTCGAGAAACATAGGCTGTAGTATCTTTTAGGTGACCTGATTGTGTGAAAGTTTCTTTACGGTCAGTGTATACGAGTTATACTCGTTAAAAGATTATACGGAAGTGTATCGGCTAACGAGATTTACGTATATAATTTGCAGGGATGTTACAACTACTTTTCCAAGTTTTGTATTTCATTCAGAAGTTGATGAAGGAGCTACTTGAGGAGTAGGGGAAAAGAAGGGTGTAGTTCAGATTTTAATTAGTTCTTCTCCTCCACATATTTCATTTGTTTATTTTCCCAACTATATTTTAAATGTATCTAATTTTATATTTTATCAGGGAAAAATGCAAACAATATATATATATCTTAATTGGGTGAGGAGGTTTTGTTTAGCCCTCCCTTTTTGTAAATTGGTCAAATAATATATTTTTCTTAGATTCACTTGATTTACAGTTGTTTTGTTCTTTATAAAAAGATAAATTTACCCTTTGTAGAGAGTTTATGTTTTTTCATAAAAGATTTTCTACTTTTTTGTATATGCGTTGTACTCGGAGTTTTTATACCCTCCTTTTTCGATATGTGTGTGGTCACATTGTGAAGTTTGACTAATTTGAATTTGCTTGAAAAGTCTAAATTGAAAAGTCTTACTTTAGAGATAAATCACTATAGAACTGGAACTCGAGACGTTGGTTAAGGATGAGGTTCGATCAATACAACTTTGCGTTAGTAAGTTCTACATTAAGATAAAGTGCATTTTATCAAAGATGATCCATTCTATATCCAAAATCAAACATGAGACTCAGTGTTGTACTCTACTGTTGCAGTAGTCATCAGGTTCACCAATAATATAAAAAAATCTCATGTTTACATTACTATTTTTGATGATTTGAGTATCATGGACCATAGAGAGCTAGATCGTTTTGCCATATGAACTTAGAATTTGTACATGAATATATTTTAATATAATAAATAATGTGAAATTCGTGAATTAAATATACATGATTTAGCTATAAAGTAAAGTGGCAGAGTCAGAGTTTGATATTTATGATTATGCATTGTGAAATTGTTACTAAATGCTCTTTTTTGTAAAAAAAAAAATAATTAAAAAAATTGGGGAAGGACAGAGATATGATCCTTCAACCACAAGGTGAAGGACAGAGGGTCTCAACCAACTGAGCTACCCTCTCACCCCCAACCCCTCTCCCATCCCATTCATTGTTTGTTTTAGTTATCGAGTTGGTGATACATATTTAATAAGAATTTAAAAGTTTGTTTTAGTTAGGCATAATACATAAACATGACCATTAACTTGACGTCAGCTGGCAACTATGACCCTCAACTTTGTGTGTGCACAAGTAGACATTTAAACTTGTATAAAATTGAACAACTAGACACATTCGTCCTACATGACAATTTTGTGTTCTACGTGGCGTCCTACATGTATTATCGAGTTGGCAATACATATTTAATAAGAATTTAAAGACAAAAACATTGTTTAAGTAAAATCTATTAGATCCACCTGAATATATGTGTTGTGCAAAGATTTTATAGCTTCACTTGTGATGGCAAGTTCATCAACAATTTTTATCAGGTTATCAATTAATACTTATCATAGAGATTTTCTTGTGGTCACCTGATTAACAATTAATACTTATCATAGAGATTTACCTATAATTACTTTGTTACAAATGAAATATATTTAAATGGTTGATCAACCGCATGTCATGGTCAATTGAAATTCTTCAATCACATAAAAAAAAATTAGATGAATAAATTAAATAAAAATATAACCATTGTTTCCCTAAAACATCTCTTAACCATAACATTAATTATCATCCAAATCTTCTTTCTCTACATTTGTTTTCTTTCTTTCATTATCAAATATGTTTAGTTTTTTGTAATCCCCTTTGGAATTTGACTCCATAATCATCTTTCTATTTTGTGAGAAGAAACAGATCAATTGATCTGTTTTCTTCTCTTTTTTAACAATGACTTGGCCATTGCTTTTTCTCTTGTTTTCATCTTTTGCTTTTTCTCATGCACAACTTACATTGGACTACTATGCTAAAACATGTCCACAATTTGATTCCATTGTGAGGGACATCTCTCAACAAAAACAAACGGAATTCCCCGCCACGGCGGCCGCGACCCTCCGCGTCTTTTTCCACGACTGTGCTGTAGATGGTTGTGATGCCTCCATCCTTATCAAACCAACCGCCTTCAACAAATCCGAGCTCGACTACGACATCAACCATTCCCTCGCGGGTGACGCGTTTGACCTAATCACCCGCATCAAGACCGCGGTCGAGCTCGCTTGCCCGGGCGTTGTGTCGTGCGCGGACATCTTAGCGACCGCCACCCGAAACCTCATCGTCATAACCGGTGGTCCCCACTACAAAGTCCAGTTGGGCCGGAAGGACAGTCTAGTTTCCAACGTATCAAACGTGGAAGCACACCTGACGCGTGCTAACGCGACGGTTGACCTAATGATCAATAAATTCCAATCCATGGGGTTTGATGTCAAGGACATGGTTGTGTTGATTGGTGGTGGACATACAATTGGATTTGTTCATTGTAAGGAGTTTGCTCATAGGATATTCCCAACTCCTGACCCTACAATGAACCCAATATTAGTTGAAAGATTGAGAAAAATGTGTGCAAATTATACAAGTAACAATGACATGTCAGCCTTCCTAGATGTTATAAGTCCTGGTAATTTTGACAATGTGTTGTTCAAGAATTTAATGAAGGGCATAGGGGTACTAGGTTCAGACCAATTATTACATAGTGACCCTAGGACAAAGCCATTTGTTGAATTATATGCCAATAATGCTATTGCATTTGCTAATGATTTTGCTCAAGCAATGGAGAAAGTGAGTGTATATCAAGTCAAGATTGGTCAACAAGGAGAGGTGAGGAAGAGATGTGATTCTATTAATCACATTTGAAAGAATTTGACATAAATTTTTATTTTATTTTATGGGATTTTTGAATGATCCAACAAGTACCCTCTCCATGATGATGATGATCTGTAGAATTTGTGTTTATATAATATGATGATAAATGATAATATTGGACAAGAATTTTATCAGTAATTTGTGATTATTTGATCAATTATTTTTGTTAGGTTGAAATTTTGTTCCATCATATTGTCCCAGGCTGTAACACCATCATCACGTATGTTGTTCATTAATTGAAGTCATGTTGTTTAAATTTCCAAGTAATTAGAGTGGGTTTTATAAATGTGATGTTCTATTCAAACTGACACATTTTATCCCAACTATTCACTATTCAAAGAACAACTTCAGTTTCAACCAACATATCATCTCAATTGTGTCAGTTAAACACTCCAACTTACAAAATGAAAAGCTAAAACAGTTCGAAAATTGGGGTTGTATGTAGCTTTCATTTTCGTAGCAAGAGTATCAAAGAAGTGAATAATATATTGAAGCTAATCTGCGAACTCAAAAAATCATTGCAAGAAGAGATGGAAATGATATTAACTTTCTCAGAAAAGATCAATTTCCCCAACAGTATCTAAATGACTAAATCGAGTGCGTTCACAAACATCAAAATGGTCTTATAATTGAAAAACATATCTGATCTCAAAATTCCATAGACTCGGTCATAAGCAGATAAACAAAAAGGCTGATTGATGATTGCTCTAACTCTCAGTTTGCTCCCTCAGTCTTCGGATTGTGCTCCTAACTGTCACAGCACTTGCAGTGCTATTGAAGAAAAAGATGAATCAGTTACTCGCGCGAAAAAAAGTAGGAAAAATTGAAGACAAATATTAAGGGAATAACTTATTACTTCAATGTATAAGCACCGCCTGCTTTGACTTTGCCGCAATCTTTACAGCCCCAAATACCCACGGCTTTCCTCTTCACCGCGTACTGCTCATAATGACAAGTATATCTTCAGATCACACGAATAAGGCAAACCAACTAGTACACAGAAAGGCATCCCACAGATGGTAAAATCCCATAGCATATAGTTCTGCTAATTTATCCAAAAGACCAAAAAAAATACCTTTCCACAAAACTCGCAGAAGTACTTGCTATGCTGGCTAACCTCCATTTTCTTAATCTGCTTTCGCAGACTGGCACCATACCGGGTACCTAAACAAATATGAGATATTTAGAGTCGTAACTTTGCTGGACAAAAAACAGAACACATTCTATGCAACTGCAGAAAGAGGAAAAATCTACATACAAATAATCAAATGTTAAATGAAAAGTACATACGTAGGAGATCTAATCAAATAACCAGTGGAACACAATGGGAATAATTAGATGGATGCAATCATTTGATATTCTTAACAAACCAGAACAGTTCTGCAATTTCCTATGCGAGCTCTTCCTATTTGCTCAAAAAAATCATCAAAAAATTATCCCATTAAATTTTTCAGCAAGTATTTGTAGATTGAATAAACTAAAGTTATACAAAATTTTGAAGTAACATGTTCTAGTATAATCAAGAATACAAGGAATATTGGCACATCTTTGTTTAACTAAGGTGCAACTAAACTGTGGTTTCTTCAGATTCTGTATGGCTTGCCATTCTAGCTAAAGACCAAAGTCATTTGTGTGAAATACATATAGAAGCAAGTTAATCAACCATATTCATGCATATAAAACACAGCTCTATCTGTGTACTTGTGTGTACAAATATACCGCGTGGACAATGCAAAGGGAAACATAAAAAAATTTACGGAACCACTACTAACCATATTTCCCAACTATTCCAGCCTTCTTGGTCCTCTTAGTCTGCAGGAAAAAAAAAATAGTATGTTATTATATAACCCATCTTAAAAAAGCCGCAACTGAAAAAAAATGAATCGTATCATCCAAAGTCATCTACGACTAGGTCCACCACAATGGTGGAATAAACAAGCACACCTCTACAACAAAGATGTTGTCAATATCTTAATTGATCAGTAACTCTGAACATAATTTCTCATCTACGAACATTCAACTCTCAATCCAAATCCATCAAACCCCACAGCCTTTCCTCGTCATGAAAATATTACAACCAGACGAGCTGAACAAATTAACATTTTAGTTTTCTAAATACGTTTTAATTCTCATGAACAAAGCAATGTTACACTAAAGAGTGACATAGTGATCAATGAAGCATGGGATATCAGCTGTCACAACACCAATCCAGCAAAGCTTGAAAACCTTAGTGGATCACTAAATCTCTCAATCCAAATCCATCAACATCACTACCTTCCCTCATCATAAAAGTATTAAAATCAGATGAACCCACAAACAAATTAACATTTTTAGTTTTCTAAAGACACATTTTTTTTCCAAATAGTTCATGAACAGAGTGTTGCACTGAGGACAGCGCCATAATGATCAATGAAGCATGAAATATCAGCTGTCACAACTTCAATCCCACTAAGGTTACAAAAACATAGTGTACTGTCTCAATCCAAATCCATATAAAGCACTGCCTTTCCTCATCATGAAAACATTACAACCAAATTAGCCCAGAGAACACAACAACAAACCCAATGTAATCCCACATGTAGGGTCCAGAGAAGGTAGAGTGTACACAAAACTGAGGTTAGAGAGGTTGTTTTCGCCAGACACTCAGCTCAAAGAACAATAAGGAAAGGCAGTCACAACAAACAGAAACAACAACAAGATAACTAGAGAGCACAATCTAATGCACAAATTAACATTTTAGTTTTCTAAAGACACCTTTTTAAAACAAATTGTTCGACGAAAAGACCAATATACTACACCCAGAAGTATGGGATAGAAGCAAATAAAGCTGGAAATAGACCAAATCAACTGTCAAAACTCCATAACCCACTAGCTCAAAAACCTAATCCACCTCTACCATATCTTTTCACAGCTATATCTGAGACTAAAAAAACAGTTCCAATTCCAAGGGATCAGTATTATAGATCCGTTTGACACTTAACAATAACAAGTAATCAGTATCAAACCTGACGAAAACAGAACTATTTTCGCACAAAAAAAACAAAAATCAATCACCGAAAACACAAATTTTGAAGAAAAAACAAAAAGATTGAGCTGATGTATGTATGAAAATTGAGAAGTTACCATCTTTGCTGAATTTGTTCTCGATGAAGGAAGGGCGTTAGTTAGCAGAGGAAACCCTAAATTCCTTCGTTCAACTTATTTATACAATTTTGGAACGGGTTGGGTTGGGGTGCGGCCCAGTTGAATGTATTCAGTCTGACCCAAATTAACATCAGGCCCTGACCTCCTAGTTTTTTAAGGGCAAATTAATACAAAATCGAAATTCATATTACCAAAATATTCATGAACTAACACATGAAAAATTGAAAAAATTGCCTATTTTTTGTTAAATGGATCCTAAATATCCAAAAATGTTGTGGATCATCGTTTAATTCATGTTAAATGACTCCTAAATGCCCAAAAAATGTTGTGAATCATGGTGAGGTTGTACGTACTGATCTCTCAACTCATTACAGATGGTCCCGTAAAGTTTTTTTTAAAAATCGACCAGAATTCATATCAACAAAATATTAATGGGCTAACACACGAAAAACTGAGAAAATCTCCTAATTCATGTTAAACAGCTCCTAAATGCCTAAAAAAATTGTGGATCATGGTGAGTCTATACGTATATGTCATCGAACTTTTAGAAAAAAATCAATTTTGTCATCAGTTAAAATTTGGCTCATCTATGTTATTACCGTCTGAGAAAAGGTTCATTCATGTCATTATTTGTTAACCCTATTCTTGACTTGAACCTTGAGGGCAAGGTTCTTTTATAAAGAAGGGAGAATTGTTGTGAACGATATTGGGCCGAAGGGCATGTTTGGCGGTATCGATAGGAATGGGCTTGGACCAATATTCGCAAAGCAGCCCAATAGCGAATTAAGTGGCTTTGATTGGAATCCGAATTGATAAATAGTAACTTAAGAGAGCAAAATAGGTTAAGCATATTGAAATTATTGGGTTTGCAAATTGCAACATGTAGAAAAGCACTAAAATTAATCAACCAATGGTACGAGAGTACACCGGTGTACATATTGAGTCCGGTGCATCAAAGTTTTCATATGTGAAATTTGAAAAAGAGTCGGACCACAAGGGTGAAGGGTCTATCATGGTCTGTCTTATCCTGCATTTCTGCCAGAGCCGTAAAGACAACTCTGGCAGAAATGCAGGAAGAAATTGCGTATTATAGACTACATTAGAGGGACTCGTATAGTTTATTTTAATATCACAATAAAAGCAAGAAGAAATATGATTAACAAAACTATATATGTACATAATACTTAATAGTAGGAGCTTTTTCTCTACAATATTAAATGTGGAAAGGCAAAATTTATTATTATTTTGTACAAAGAAAAAGAATATACTCATTTGAGTCCTATAGTTGCAGAAATAACAAATATTTTTCAGACTTTTATGGACTAGGTACTATAATGTAGTTTTTAGCTTTTATTCTCCTCTTTATATGCTATACTATATAGGAGTGACTATATATTTTACATGTTACATTGATGAATACATTTTCTTTTATAATTGAAAAATCTATGAAGGTCCAGTTTAAACTCGTGACATATGTTGCACTCTTACCACTGAACCAAAGCCCCGAGGCCAAATGAACCTCTCTACACAACTGCAACCTCTGCATTTTTCTTAGCACGACTCTGTTTGACAAATCTAACATACAAGTCTGTCCTACTCGAATCGCATTCTGGAAGCCTCGTGTTACCTCCTTCGGACATGTTCTTCACAAACTCAACGAGATTTCTCCAATTCTCGGGCTCGAACAACCTTTTGTTCAATCTCAAATATGTAAATGCACTCAATCCATTTCCAGAGTCTGCTCTGCTTGTACTCAAAACTTGTGCATATCCTCCTCCATCATACCTCTCTAACGCGTTTTCTCCAGCTAGTTCTACTCCAACATTTCTAGTCGCGTTTTTCACTTGTCGAACCAAACCTTCTGGTGAGCAATTCGCGCTATGTGGCTGCTCTCCATCCCTCATTTCCATACAAGTAAAGTTAAAAACAACCCCACGTTTCACGAACATACGTGCTATTGGTAAATAACCATCTTTGTTCCTTGTGTTATAGTACCCTGCTGTTAACTCTGCTGCATGTGATCTTGTGTTATAATGCCAATGAATTCCAGCTACTTTGCCTGATAATTTACAACTTGTTCCTTTGAATATGCCTTCTGCTGATGCTAGGATATTGTCTCCATGTTCTAATAACTTTCTTGAATACCATTCTAGGAAAAATTGTCCATATTCACTATTCCATGTTCCATCCTTTTTGAAAAAACCAGTTTCCTCTGGAAACTGGTTGTACTGACCAGAATCGTGGGGCCCACCTCGGCCCCACGATTCGTTTCCCATTGCATCTGCTGATGCTGCTAGTGAAGCCTTCATGTACTGTTTATAATATCAACAAAGGAAAAAAGTTTAGTTTTTTATTTTTTTATGTT